AATTCTGCTTTTGAAGTGTACAGGAACCCCAGTGGGGTTCTTATACATTTCAAAGGCTCAGGCGCCTCAGAGAGCATGGGGCCAGTGGGAGTCCCCTATTGGTCCCATGCTCCTTGTGAGGCTTCCTTTTGAAATGTAAGAAGCATGTAATTTGTTAATTTTGTAGTAGACAAAAATGTTGTCTACTATATGATTAATCAATAAGGGTTAGCACTGCAAGCACTTGTTCCTGGCTCATGCCATGTCCTGGTGCAGCTCTGCATTAAAAGTAATTTAGGAGCTGGTGGGTAAGGGAAGTATTATTGCAGAGCTGCGGTGTGGATAACTCTCAATACAAGAATGAGCTAGGATTGAGTTGGGCTCCTTCCCACCAAATCCTAAAATACTTTCCTTCAGAGCTGCAGTGGGGGTAGCTGCCGGGACTGAGCCAGGCTGCTTTCAAGTCCTCTCAAAAATTTACTGGCAGAGCCATGGTTGGTGGGGGGGAGGCGGGGAGATGCGTGTAGTCGGTGGCATTAACTGATAAGCTTTTGCTTATCAGCTAAATGTTTAACCAACTAAACTGTTATATCCCTAATATGTTACCCTACTGTGTGCATGTGGTGTGGGGGAGAGGCGGTAAATCAGTGCACTTGATTTACATTCTGAGAGTGCAAGATGACAGAAGAAAAGAAGTGTTTGACATTGTTGGAGAATGAGAAATGTAAAATGACTGATAGTTCCAGGGATCTCTAACAGAAAAGCAGAATGGGGGGGCTGGTTTTCTTTGGTCATGGGGGCCATTACTTGTATTGCTAACAAAATTCAAATGAGAGGTTAATTCTGATATTGGAATCTGGATCTCCAGCTTCCAGGTAAGTACTCCGTTGTATTTTATGATCTTGTCTATGCACAAACTAATTGTTATGCTCACTTTGAGTTAAATTGGTACAAACTCAGGTGTGAACAGGACACACTTTTATCTCAGTTTAAGAGCCATTTGTATAGGTTTAGATTAAACTTGTTCCTAAGGCTTTGTCTACACTGCCTGCTTTTGCCAGCAGAGAGTATGCAAACAAAGCACTAATTAGCATTTTGTCATGCTTCACTTGGATAATCTATTCGAGCCATTTTTGCGTAAGGGTTTTTTTGCGCAAAAACAAGCAGTGTGGACGTTTCCTTTTTGCGCAAAAACCCCTTTTTGCACAAGATCCTTATGCCTCTCCAGAGGCATATGAATTCACAGTTTGTTTATTGTTTCAACAAAACTCAGCGAATGCCATTATGGAAAATCCTGCCTATGACCAGGCTTTTTTTTATTCTGGTCTCCGGAGAGGCATAAGGATCTTGCGCAAAAAGGGGGTTTTGCACGAATAGGAAATGTCCACACTGCTTGTTTTTGCACAAAAACCCATTGTGCAAAAACGATTGGAATAGATTATGCAAATGAAGTGTGACAAAATGCTAATCAGCGCTTCATTTGCGTACTCTCTGGTTTGTCTGGTTGTGTGCATGTATATATTCCATTTAAATTGGTGCTATTTTATGACTAAACTTATACCCTACCAAAGCTGTTCTAGCAGTACATTAATAATTGTTTTTCTCTTTTTAACCTTCCCAAAACCACACCTACTCATCTCCCCCACACACACTTCAAATTTTAATAGTGCAAAGTTCTTTTCTTATCCTTTTATGGGATTGGTTGAACTCTCTTGGCAAATCTCTTTGAAATGAATAGAATCTGTTTGCTTTGAAGATAAACTGAATCTGTAACAAGTAAATGCCTTTTATGTCACTGACCAAAGCTGATAGGTTGCTTATTTCATAAGGATAAGAGTTTCTAATCTGGGGTGCCAGCTCAGCTGTGAAACAAGATGAATTCACAGTTTATTGTTTCAACAAAATTCAGTGAATGCCATTATAGAAAATCCTGCCTATGACCAGGCTTTTTTTATTCTGGTCTCCTGGATAAGTGATTGGTGCTTGTATATAAACCACTTTAAAACAAATTATCCTCATCTCCAGGACAACCCAACAGTTTTTGTGCATCTCCCATGTTCTGTGTTCCAGGAACTTATATCTCAGTTGACTTCACACCCCTAGCAAATCCACTGTAAGATTCATCTGAGCTAGGAAACAATGCTTCTTTATTTTAAAAATACTAGGGGACTGTGTCCCCCGTTTGCTATACTCACCATCCCACTTCTGCCTCTCCAGGGCACTGGGGTGGGGGTGGCCATGGGCCTTTCGCTCCCGCCCCCCAAGGTCTAGGGAGCAGGGAAGGCTGTGTGGCTCTGCTCCCTAAGCACCGGGTGAGGGGGGAAGCTGCACGGCTCCCACTCATTTCCCCTCCTCCCCGAGCACAGGTGATGAGAGGGGAAGGCTGCATGGCTCCAGCCCACCCCCCAGTACTGGGGAGGGGGAAGTCTGTCTGGCTCCAGCCCCCCCGCACCAAGAAGGCAGTGTGGTTACACTTCTGCCCCCTGGAGCACTGGGGAGGCCGCATGGTTCCTGCACCACTCCCCAACTGATCATGGGAGAAACTGGGAAGGTTGCTTAGCTGCTGCCCCAAGCACCAGGGAGGGAGGGAAGAAGGAAGGATGCTGGCCATCTGAAGAGGGTGAGGCTTTGGAGTGCAAAGTGACATGCTGACCTCACTCTATTGTCCCACAGGAAACTTTTTTATATATAAAAAAAATTAGCTGGGCTCTAGTTAAATCTTGACCCCATTTCTGGGGCATAATCTTCTCAAAACGATTTTGAAAATCATTCTTAGGACTCTGTTACTTCTTACTCTTGAATGTTTTTAAAAATATTGCATAATAAATTTGGCTCTGTCCATGCTGCAGTCCCAACTCCATCGTTGAATCATTTCCATAATTAGCAGTGGTTTCGTATTCACTTTTTTATGTCATTGATGAGGCTTATAATGTTCTGTTGTTTGTCAAATCTCTTGTGCTTCTTAACAGGCCTTTTATTACCCCAGATCTTTTTGCCTGATTATTAAACACATCTGCATTGATTTTATTTGCTTCATTTCAGAATTAACTATTTGTTCAGCAGATTTTGTAGAAAGGCAAAATTTGGTTTTTGCATGAAGAAGAAATTAACTTGTTAAGTTGTATGGACAGTTTTTTCTGTGCCTTAAATTCCTTATTTTTTACAGATTCATAATCTTGGCTTTAGTTCAAAAGTAAAATCTGATTTCTGAGAAATATTTGACAACTTTTGAGCATGTAGAGTAATAGATTTTCAGTTATTAGATGTTTCAGAATAAAGATAATCGATGTATCTTTTCCTCCTGAACTGAAAGTGTGAAGTTTGATTTTCAGCTGTAATAGAGCTGTGTCTGTGATTGAAGGCCCCTTTGCTCATACATTTTTTTATTATAATTAGTGTTTTTTCACCTGGAAGGGAAAAATGATGCATCTTGTAGAGTTCTAGATCCTGATCCTGTGTCTGGATCCACATGAGTAGGCTTTGTCCCTGTTTGGAATCCCTGTAGGGATTCATGTAGACTGAGCCCTCAACCTGTTCACAGTCCATTGATTTCAGTAGTACTCTGCACGAGTGACAGTGATTTTGCTGGCTCAGGCCATAATTTGCAATGTATCTGTACTGATGCATTTGTACAAATAGCCATTGGAACATATGCCATTGGAAGTAAGCTTTGTAGTAACTATTACTTGAGATTACTTTGTGTTTCTTTGGCATTTTCCCATCTTTAAAATGTGTCTTTTTTTTTTGCAGGCCTCCAGTAGTGCAGGAAACCTGGGAGTGCTTATTCCTGTTATTGCTGTGGTGAGTGCTCCTGGACTGGGTATATGGAAGCTGAATTACAATTTCCCAAAAAGTTCAAGTATCAATGCTGTTTGGGCGATGGGAGGGGAGAAGAGGCAAATGGGACTGAAAAGTAGGCATGAAAGACATGTTATAACTCCTTACTTGCTCAACTTTAAAAATTGGCATTTGTTTGATGACATTGCTCTTAAAGTAGCTAGTATTTTGTTGTTCAGAGAGAGGCTCTGTTGTTAGTTAGCCATGAATTCAAGAGATTTGTGATCCAGCTAATACCGCAGGGGATATTATACTGACTAAAACTTGGGAGCCACTATAGTAAGAGGTATGTAACTGAAAAAAAAAGAAAGGAACCTGGGGAGAGGACTGGAAAATGAAAAGTTGGGTTAAAAAAGGAAAAGTTAAAATTAAATTCTAGAAGGCAGTATATCAGAAAGTCTATAAAGAAGGCAGATTACTTATAATAAAGGAGAGAGGAAAGCCTTTGTATATCTGTGGATATGAATTAGCATGCTCAAAAAAAAGAACAACTTTTAAATGGACCAGTTGTAGTCCATGAGGCCTGTAATTCAGTGGTGACTGCTGGGCTGATTTACCCTTTCAGTCCTACTCCATCTTCTACTGAAATCAATCCAGATTTTGGCATTGACTTCAAAGGGAGTAAGATCAGACCTTTAAAAATGTAAAAAATGGTCTCTTTCATTAGAGACTTACTGTTTCACATGTTGGTTGATAAAATACATTTGATTTGAATGCTTGCTGTAGATTACTTTTTCTTAACCAATGTGACCTTTACATGGAGTAAAATAAATAGTGTCAGAAGTTATAGCAACAGTTAATGGTTACATTATGGATGCAGAAGCAAATATTTGATTTTCTTGCACAATGCATAAAGATCATGAGTTCTGAGCTGCCTCTACATTTGCTTTTCTGTTTGACCTCTTTCTCCTGTTACAAGAATTGGTCGTGGCCTCAAAAATAACTTTTAGAACTTTGTTTCCAAATAACATGGTCTTTGATAAACTAATTCTTGATTGCCAAAGGTTTCTTTTCACTTCTTGATTTGATTATTTTCTTTAATATGCGTTACACATTTGTGAAAAATTAGATAACCTTCCTGACTTGAATTTTTTCTTTGTTTCCTGTGACAAGATTTTTAATGTTGAAAAACTATTTATATGCAAGAAACTTTTGAACAAGGAATGTGTATGAAAAAGAAATACTGAAAAGGGAAAAAACTATTTATTGAGTTGAGTAATTACTTGATATCAGCTCTTCACCCTCCTGTTTTTCATTTACTTGAATGTTTAAACAGCTTCATTATAGTTTGGCACAAAATTCAAAATGACACACGCTATGTAAAAGCAAAACAGGATCAATTACAAATTGCATTTAAAAACCTCATGAAAGACTTGTAAATCCATAAAATAACTATCAGTAGATTGCATATTTTCTCTAGTAGCATAAGAAAAAACAAAGGAAAGTTCAATATTTAAAACATTTACTTTTTTATATTTGATATTCCAAATAATACAATAAACTTGTGAGACTATAATGTGTATTCCTTAAAAGGGACAAAGAAAAGGGAAGTTTTTAAATGTGAATACATGTGTTGTTCATCTACTTACTTTGATGGTTTGTAGAAAAAAATATAAATTTGTTCCTCCTATCAAATGGTAGCATTTTAGAATTGAGGTAAGTTGCATCTACGTCAGTGATGAGAATAATTAGACCGTGTTTATATTCCTACAATAAAGTCTGAAAAAGTTACCAACAGTTTATCAGGTTTTCCCCACTACATTTCATTAGATTGAACTTGAGGTGAGCTTTAGAGACCTTTATTTTCTGCTTTAAATGCTTTGCTTACATACATGTTTTCTGTTTTAAAAAAAAAAGGGGGGGGGGAGGAAAATAAAGAGTGATGGAAGATGTAGGACTTTAGGTATTAAGTGTGGGGAATGGGAAAGGAGGAGAGAGTATTTCCTTGTCTACTTTATATGTATAAAATACCTTTTTCTGTATAAGCTATGTTGTAGATCTTATACTTCCCACTGAGTCTGTCTATACACAATAGGCTAATTTTGGTGACAAAATAGATTGGTACAAATTGCACACTTTGTCTCTGATCTCACACTGCTGGAACTCGGAAATAACTGTTGAAATAATTGGCATTACACCAGTATAGAACTGGTATGAAGTCAAAACCAGACCTAATGGTACCTTACTTTTTCTACAATTCTTCTTTTCTGCCTCATTGCCTTGTAAGTGTTATGTTTTATTAGCCTGTTGAATGTGAAATCAGTACAAATTTCCTTTCTTCACTACTTACACCTCCATTTAGATTGCTTTTGGATATGGCTTGGGCTTCCTTGGGAATTGTGCCAGTTTCCTCCAGGGTGAATTTGGCCTATGAGTTATCAAAAGGCAAAATATGGCGTTGAGGGCAACATTTTCAAATATGGATGCCTAAATTTAAGTCCCCAAATCCTTATTTAGATACCTAAAAAGATAACCTCAGAACTGGGAGGAGTTCAGCACTTCCTTATACTTGCCTGTTTGTTGGTTTCTAAATACATATTTAAGAGATCAATTTTAGATGTCCACTTTTAAAAATCCTGGTCTAACATTGTATTTGCTGGTTAAGTGCAATACACTGAAATATAACACTAAATGTCAGTCATTTTAATGAGAGTTTAATATAGCTATATCAGTGCCTGGCATTAATCATTATAAATTGAATGGACTCGTGCATTGCATTTTCCTTTACTAAATGGTGAGTCGTGTAATGACAGTACCCTTGCTGATTAATGTGACAAGTAAAATATTTCTTTCAAAATTGCTATGTTAAAATGTAATCATACAATCCAGTTATCAGAACACAATTCGGTTTTTAAGACTTGCTGGGGTTGGCGACTCTGCCCAGGAACAGCAGGCAGCTGGTGCGATGCTCATAGATGAGAAACAGAAAGGGGCGGTCAATGACGAAGCGAATCTGAGTGGAAAGAGGCATGAACCCTACCGTGGTCACAGCTGCAGCCTCTGTGCCTTCTTCATTCACAGTAATGGTGCCTTGGTGGTTGAACTGTAAAAATGGGGCAGAAAATGCAGAATACATCTGGTTAGATTTCGAAGTCTTAGTAATTTGTCGTAGGCGAATTTCACTGTAATAAATGTGCTATAAAAATGGTGAACTTAAGTTACACCATCGAATATTTTCTATGCTGCACATAGCTTTCTTGCTCTGTTATCACGGATTGTTTTTATATGGCATCAGTCCTCTGGCTTTGGTGGCTCCCCCTTCTTGATTGATCATGACATTATTCCTTCCAGAGATTTAAAGGCATGATCTTCATAATGTGTGTAGTCGTCTACCAGTGGTTCTCAAGCAGTTCTCAACACATGTTTTCCAGGAAATACATCAACTTAGCTAGATATTTGTTTAGTTTTAACATAGGCTACATAAAAAAGCACTATTGAAGTCTGTACAAACTAAATTTTCACACACAAATGTGCTGTGACACTTTTTGTGTCTTTGTCTGATTTTGTAAACAAGTAGCTTTTAAGTGAGGTGAAACCTGGGGGATATGCAAGAGAAATCAGACTCCTGAAAGATACAGTAGTTGTCTATAAGGGTTCAGAGCTGCTGGTCTACTATTATATATGGGAAAATACAGATCCTCTATATTCCAGGAGAGGCAGAGATATTGTGTTATTTGCTTAGCTAAGCTGTGAATTATTGTACTTTGTGCTGCAATTCAGATAGCTGGGATTAATAAATAGGATGAGTGTAGAAGGGGAAAATTACCATATCAATAATGACTTTATCATCAGATATTCCAGAATAGTCACCATTTTTGTCAAACATTGTTTCTATTCCCATGGATTTCAGATAATCAGTCAGGTCATAACTCTTCTCCAGCTTAAATTTAGGTAGAACGACTTCTCTTGTTCTAGTAAAAAACAGAAACATTATAGGTCTTAAAGAAATATACAACATAT